TATAAAAGGAAATTGCTAGCCCATCTATCTTGGATATAAATATCAATAAAAGCTAATACATCTGGTCAGGACCTTTGCTATTACAGTAAGAACCAAAGCTAAATCATATAGGCTCATAGAGATATAAGAGAGGATATCATCCTACTCAACTTCTCTGTCTTTTTGGGGATAGAGGTTAAGCTTTTGTGACATACTGCTCTTTTAGGTAAAGTTTTCTTAACTCCAGCAACTTTTCAATCATTAAATATACAATTGATATATATTTAAAGGGTTAGAAAAAGCTAATCCCTGATACAGGTCAGCGATAGGTTATTCAATTAAACATGATGATCTACTACGAATATTATTGTAACAAATATTTTGTTAGGTATAAATAAACCTTGCAGTAACATATTCTCACTGTGTATTTTAATCACCAATGACATGACGAATGTTTGAGATGGTACAGAAGGACACAGCTGGTTAACTTTTAATTATAACAAAGTTCTTTCTAGGGCCATTAATGGATGGCGATACTGACCGCAAAAGATCTGTTGTAGTGCAGACTCAGAGAGCTCGAGATGAATTGTTCCTGCTCTGGTTATTTTATTAGATACAGGGCATTAGGCAGCATAATTCTGTCCCTCGATGCAGATTAATGCACGTTTACATTGAAACATGCTTCTCATTAACAACATTAGATTAATTGATGTAGGATGTTTGACCATTTATCAGACGGAAATATTGTTTTGTTTAAGTATACTCATTTTAAAAGAGGGTATGTGTATATGTCTATTAACTACTAAACACTTTCTGGACATAAACTTTGCTAATGTATCATTTGTATGAACATATATTGCTCTTAAGAGACATTAACATACTGTAGGACGCCCCCTGGTGGCAGATGTACATCTCTAACAAGACCTAAAAACAGCACATCTGATACTTCTATTTTGGGGTTTAGGTACATAGGTATTTGTAAATAAGCAACTCTTCAAGTAAATCGTTTTCTGAATGCTTTCATCAAACTAGTAAACTTCAGAAACAACAGATGTTGCAGCCTGTACACAGAGAATTTGAGTATATTGGAGCAGCCCACTCCATGCAGCTCAGGTGTTGACTCAGCACAATATATTATACTATATATACTACAATCAGTGTCTGTGGGTGGATCTGTTTTCTGAAGTGAGTGCTGCCTTCAGAGTAATCTCACGCTCTGGCAGTGTGAGAATATAAAAACCATCGGGTGGAGATCCAGCTTCACTATTTACAACGTCCCTCTCCTTTATGGCACGTGGCCAACTCATCTTGTGTTTCTCATTTAAGGAAACTGACATTGGAAGATGGTCAAGCATTAATTGAATATTTTAGATGAAAAAAATCAAATGGTATTTCCTAAAAACCAACAGTACCAAAAGCTGATTGTTTTTGCTTTCAATCAACCTTTCAAATAATGTGCCTGTGTCCCCAATGCCAGAAACAGGAAATCAATGTTTCCATTTCAGTTATGACATTATAAGAAAAAACAGCCTGGTCAATATATTGATGGGTAACTTTGTTTTTGCTCATAACAGGATTGGATCAGTTTATAGAAGTTGGTGCTAAATGAAAATAAAGGTGAGATATATATGTTCCTTTATATATTCTGTGTGTCCACTAAATAATGGGTTCTCTACCAGTTCAACCGAAAACTAAATATATTGAAATAACCCTTTTTATTCTTTACATTTAAAATATTATGTGTAGCCCTTTCTAATAGTGTTTTATTTAGTTTGTCTCTATCTTCACTTTTGCTGTAACAATGTAAATGTCCCCTCTGTAGGACAAATCAATTCTGACTCTGAAAAACACATAAGGTCGGCAAAAAAGCTTGTCTAGTCTTGTATAAATATGTTTTTTCTTCTGCTTTCCTATCCTGTATTTGATCTCTTGTCCCTTCAGATTCACAATTAACTTCTTGCTGCATTTAATTGGCAGTACAACTGTGTTTAAAGACACAATCTGCTGATAGAAGCTGGTCACCAGGGTAATAAACTGCATGCAAATGTAAGCGACTTCATATTTTTTAAAATGCTATGTTATGCTACGAAATTCGTTATTATTCCGCCGGGTTATTTTGCACATCTTCTTCTCCCACATTCCACATCGCAGAAACTCCGTTCAAACATCAAAACGTTCAGCTCGGTCGGGAATCGATGGCTATTACTTTTCTTATTCTAACTTTCATAATTCCAGAGATACATCCCATAATACATCACATTTTGAACATGGAAGTCAATGGAGAAACTCTTCAGACTTCAACAATCTTCATGCAACTTCAACTGCTCCTTCATACTTTCACTCAGAAACCTCATTCCAACTTTAAAATGTTACACATCTTTCTGACATTATTCGTGTAACACAACTTTTAAATCTGATTCTTACTTTTACAGATATTAAACATTGTTCAGACCTTGGTAAAGAGGCCTTCTTCAGATTTAGAGTGCATGATGTCACAGCTAGAGTGGAGGACAGATTTAATTTTGCCTTCATATTTTCTTTTAAATCTGCCATAATTCCCAAACCCTACATTCCTGAGACATAATGTTTCATGAAAAACGTAGGAAAATACCTCATAGCTTGAAAAGTAAATCAAAATTAAGTAAAAAAATTAAACAAAATGCCTCTTGAGGTCATGAAGTGACAATCAATCAATCAATGTTTATTTATATAGCCCAATATCACAAATGTTACATTTGTCTCAGTGGTCTTCACAGTGTGTACAGAATATTAGTATGACAATACGACACCCTCTATCCTTAGACCCTCACATCGTACAAGGAAAAACTTCTGGAGAAAACCCACAGTTTAAAGGGAAAAATGGGAGAAACCTCAGGGAGAGCAACAGAGGAGGGATCCCTCTCCCAGGACGGACAGACGTGCAATAGATGCCGTGTGTAAATTGAAAAGATAATACATTTGCAACATAGGTAGTCCAAATGTTTGGAAATGCATGTATGTATAATAGGAAGATGAATCCACAAGGATATCCATCCAGGACCTATGATCCAGGACCACAGCCACGACTCAAGATCCAGGGCTCGCGATCCAGGACACAGGACCGCAGGATCATCCATGTCTCCGGATCCCGGCGTATATAGACACCAAAAAGAAAGAAATTTGGGGAAGCTGGGTTAATCGGAACATGAGAGTACACAGGTATAGACAGAGAGAAGGAAGAAGTAAGATGTCCCCCGACAAACTAAGCCTATATCAGCAAAACTAGGGGCTGAATCTAATCAGCCCTAACTATAAGCTTTATCAAAAAGGAAGGTCTTAAGCGCACTCTTAAAAACGGATAGGGTGTCTGCCGCCCATACACAAACTGGAAGCTGATTCCACAAATGTGGAGCTTGATAAGAAAAGGCTCTGGCTCCCATTGTACTTTTAGAGACTCTCGGAACAACCAACAACCCTGCATTCTTGGAACGCAATGCCCTAATAGGACAGTAGGGTATAATGAGTTCTTTAAGGTAAGATGGCGCCTGCCCATTAAGGGCTTTGTAGACGAGAAGAAGAATTTTAAATTCTATCCTGTATTCTATAGGGAGCCAGTGTAAGGCAGCCAGAACAGGAGTAATGTGGTCCCTTTTCCTAACTCTGATTAGTACACGAGCTCCAGCATTTTGAATCAGCTGAAGCGACTTGACTGACTTCTTGGTACACCCTGATAATAAGGAGTTACAATAATCCAGCCTTGAAGTAACAAATGCATGGACTAGTTTCTCTGCATCGTTTTGAGGCAAGATATGCCTGATTTTTGCAATGTTACGTAGATGGAAGTAGGCGGTCCTTGAAATTGATTTTATGTGGGCGTTAAAGGATAAATCCTGATCAAACATAACACCAAGATTCCTTACAGTCTCACTGAAGGCCAAATTAATGCCATCCATAGTTAGTATATCTTTAGATAATTTGTTTCGTAGATTCTTCGGGCTAAGTACAATAACTTCAGTTTTGGTCGTGTTTAACATCAAAAAATGTAAGGTCATCCACGTTTTTAAGTCCTTAATGATGATTAATTTCATCAGGCTTGATTGATAAATATAGTTGAGTATCATCCGCATAACAATGAAAGTTTACAGAATGATTCCTTATAATATTGCCTAACGGAAGCATATATAATGTGAACAAAATAGGTCCGAGCACTGAGCCCTGTGGCACTCCATGGCTAACTTTGGTTTGCGTGGAAGATTCATTGTTAACACGTACAAACTGAGAGGGTTCAGATAGATAGAACCTAAACCAGCCTAAAGCAGTTCCCTGTATGCCAGAGATGGAGTACTCGAGTCCTGGACTCGGACTCGAGTGCCGATTTTTGGGACTCGTGACTTGACTCGGAGTCGCGCACTGATTGACGCGACTCGGACTCGGACTCGTGAATTCTCACGCACGATGACTTGGACTTGGACTCGGACTCGAACACAGGTAATGATGACTCGTACTCGGACTCGGCTCGGACACTCCTTGGATGACTCGGACTTGGACTCGGACTCGAGCAAGTTTTCTCTGGAGTCTGATGTCCTCTGTGTCCTGGCGTGTGCACCTGCGAGGCGAGTTCACGTACTG